TTTACACAAGACGATCCCCAGCGAAGAAAAGCAAGAACTCTACAAATAAGTACAAGCACGACATCTCAAATTTGTAGAACATTACAGTATGTTTGTTCTGTGGACATCCAGAATAGACCGTTTACCCCGTTTGGAGGACCAGATGTTGTGGTCAAGTGCCACGAAAGTAGATTTAATCACAAACAAAAGGTAAATAAATCTTAATTACAATAACAATTATGCATATTATGGACGACTTAGTAGAAATTCTGTAACTATAATAATATTCAATATTGTTCGAGTGATACATATCTTTGTTACATATCATTACCAACGCAGAGCAGCCTCGCGGAGATGGGAGTTGAGGGTACCAGGAGGCACCTCATAATAAAGCCGTTTCGACAAAACCCGTCACTGAGGATAGCCGAAACTTTCGGATGAGACGAGAAAGCCCCCTTAAACTTTCGTTACGGTCAATTAAAGATCCCCAAGAACATCCTAATAGATGTACAGTTTCTAGGGCAGCTCCAAATTAACAAAACAGGCCCTAAAAGCATAGAGAAATCCGTTATATGAATTTTTGACTTGCATGTTTGGAAAGATTTGAACGTTGGGTGACCTGTGTTAGCGCTTACAACGGGAATGATTTAAAGCTTGACATCCAAAAAAAACCTCAACAGACGGATGTTGTACTGTCGCAATTTGTAATAATCATCGCACTTTGTAATACCTGTCGCAATTTGTAATAAACCGTGTCGCACTTTGTAATAAAAAAGCTGTCGCAATTTGTAACAACTGTCCATTGCACTTTGTAATAAACTAAGCTGTCGCAATTTGTAATAATTCCATCGCACTTTGTAATCACTTTTTGAGAGTAATTAAACTTACTTCGTCAACATTAATGTAACGCCATGGTACTTCATAAACAAAGATGGAGATGACGTCTGCTAGCACGTAACATCTCCGCTCATTCAAACATTTAACTTTATTCACAGTCCTAAACATTTTTTTAGATTAATGTTGATTAGTTATCTGACTTACGAAATGCTGTATTCTTGAACCTTGCTATTGTACTAGGTGGCTTGCATTCAATGGTTACCCGGCGGGTGTACTTCCTTATATGGCCAATACGGGGATCTGCCTCTGGACAGAGCATTGCCAGAGTAGAGGATCTAGACAGAGCTAGACACACTAGACACAAACAAGCCATTATTAAAAAGCATTTATGCTCCATGTTCCTTTAGATAGTATTATTGAGTCAGTTATTGCTGTTGGTGGAGTCTTGCTTTGGGTGAGCTCTGTTTGCTGGGATACCCAATAATGACAATTCCAGTTTGGGATAAATTTGGCCACAAGAGTGGCCGTTTATTTCATTTAAGCATATCAGGCTAGGAAAGTCCAGATCCACAAGAAGATTTATCCCAGCAAAAGTGAGGGCACACCCGCCACAGCCCGGAGCAAGAAACGAGTGACCGGGCAGCCCCACCCGAGGCCAAAGCAAGAGAACCACCGACAAAACCTTACTAATCTAGAAGCAAAATATACAAGTGTAGCTATCAATATGAAGCAATTATGTCATAGGAAAGGTGCAAGCTTAAATGAATGAGATTGCTTAATTGACCCTATTGGATTATAGTTATCACCAGGTCCCAATTGCCAGACCTATGGGTTGTTCAGTCAGATTGAGATAATCCAGGATTAGCACTAAATTGACTTGACACCTGCACATTAACCAATAAAGGCTAATACCAGTACAGCGTTAATACTATTTGCCCACAATTAATAAAAAATGGACGTTCTTAAACAACTAATAATAACAAAATTGAGAAAGAAAATAATTTTGAAGGAAGGAAAAAGGAATCCAGATTTAATTTAAACCTTGTATTATCAAACATAATTGTCCTATACTTAAATAGCTCACTTATGTAACTGATTAAAGTGAAATCCGTGAGATGGCTTTATGGCCCTTGCACACACAGTCACACAGAATTATACTTATCAAAAGTCTGAAAGAGCTCACTGATGTAAGTGATTAAAATGAAATCTGTGGGATGGCTGTATGGCCCTTGCACACACAGTCACACAGAATTATTCTTATCAAAGTCTGAAATAGGCCACTGACGTAAAATAACTGATTAAAATGAAATCTGTGGGATGGCTGTATGGCCCTTGCACACACCCCGCGTGAAAAACCATGGAATTCCATGGATTTCCATGGAAAATTCTCCATGGAACTCCATGGAGGATTAGGACATTTTCTATGGAATTCCATGGAAAAGTTCCATGCAATTCCATAGAAACTACTCCATCGATTATTCCATGGATCTCCAGGGAGTTTCATGGAACAGACCTATTCGGCTAACTCAATGTTGTACCCAATTCAAACCCTTTGGGGATAAAACGTTTTGTTTCAGGAATCTCCATATCATTTAAATGTGAATGCCACATTATAATGCAAATACAGCACACAAAGAATCTTAACCACGGGAGATTTGAATTGGGTACAACATTGAGTTAGCCGAATAGGTCTATTCACAGGAATTAGACATTTAAAATATCCAGTGAATCAAATGGAATACATAACAGATTTTGGTCCACTGCAATTTATTTAATCAATAAAAGGACCGCATAAATCTCTTTTTAAAGATATCAATCAAAAGTTAACATGCTTTTAGCGGAAAATTTGACATTATACTGTAGCTTAACAAATTGATGTTTACTTGTGACTATATACATTGCAGTTTAGAATGCAGCAATCATGTTGAAGTAGCTTAAATGAGAAATTTAGATTTAATATAAAGCAAAGAATCTTGGCCTGGTGTTTAAGAAAGGTAACAGGCGAACAGATACATAATTGAGAGAAAAAAAAAAATAAGCTAATACTTGAATGCATAAACCGTCAGAATGTAAGACTTAAACATGGCTTTACTTAATGCGACGAAAAAGGGAAGTGCTACTTATTTCCTCTATCAGAACCACTGTGGTGTTTAGTTATAGCAAAGTCCTACCTAATCCTTGGGAAAACACGGCGTCAGCCACAATAATAATTTATCAGTCTCTTGTACAGTTTTTACGTAGCAGGCATGAAAATTCTAAATATATGTTGTGGTTCAATTTTATCCTTGGTTCAAATTTTCTTTTCTTTTGTTTTTGGGTATGGTAATGTATGATAATAACATGATAATGAGTTTGAAACAAAAGAAAAGAAAATTTGAACCAAGGATAAAATTGAACCACAACATATACATCGAAGCAGTCCATCGAAGTACAGTCTTCGATTTCTAACTCTGCCAGAATTAGCAATTATTCCAAAGGACTCCAAAGGCAATTTGCAGGAAAGACCACATTCATATCTGCATAAACAAGAAAGATGGAAACTACATATGAAAACCGATAAACAGCAGACAATCGAGAGGACGAATTCATTTGAGCAACCAAACACGAGTTGTGTACATATTAAACTTACCTTCCTCTTTAATGTGCGATCCAGCTGAGTCATTGTTTAATCGACGTCGATTTGAAACAAGCCAAATGTAAGCAACCTCACGAGTGATATTTTGCGTTGAAAATAACATCTTTTTCGGATGCATTCATTGCAAAGACAATCCGTTTACACAACACTGTCGTACTGCACAGAAGTCGGCCTAAAAGATTCGAACCAAGAAAACTAGTCTTCTACGCATTTCTATTGGTTCAAAAGCCCCACGTGATCGCGTAAGTCACTAAGCGGGGAGGCCTGGACGCCAGTTCAAGCACCAAACATGGCGTCAAATCACGGCACGATCGTGGAGGTGTCTGTCTTTAAAGGCCTTAAATTGTGGTCCCTTTCAGAGTTAATTGTACTATTCCAACGCTGTCGAAGAGTAAAGCAGTGAGACGAAAATATTGCATTGTTCTCCCAGGTGAGAGAACCTTTGATAAAAGGCAGCAGGCCTATTCATAGTCTGATACACAGCCGTTCTTAGTGTCGTCACGCAACGCTCCTCCCCACTAAAAACGGCTGTGTAGCAGACTAGCCTATCCACGGATGCGGCAAAAAAAACTCTAATATTGCTTGTGTAGGTTCGCCGAAATACTCCATGCAAAGCAATCTCATCAATCAGGTTGGACTCGAGTAATAGGGAAAATCTTAGCTCTCAACCAAAAACACTTCGATACCGAAAAGAGTTATGTGCCAGTGGGATCATTTTCTACTGGCTTAAAAAATTTGAATACGGGACCCGTACATCGTCTTGTATTTTCTATTCGTACGGGATTCCGACTAAACTGATTAGGGCTATTAAAGCACTGACTCGAAACGGTTAGCTTCTTATTAGGGTTACGGTTGTTGTTATATGAATAAAATCAAACTCTACCTAGCAGCGAGTTACTACTCCGTGGTAGAGTGGTTAGGTTACAAACTATGGATTCTACGCCCCTGGATCGCTTCTCAATCTTGCCACATCGAATTTTTCTTCTTTTCAAAGTTTGCCACTGAAATTTTTTCCTTAAAAATGGAACAGTGGTTGAAGAGACTTACACTTTCATGGAAATTTGTTGATCAGAAATTTCAAGAGACTTAGAAATTTTATATAAATTCAAAGTAGAGACTTGATCCCACGTGTCATAGCAAATACACGTCGGTGTACGGGTCCTGTACGAATAGCGGCACTGTGTCAATGTAATGAAGCAACTGCATGTTGTTAATAACAGTGATCTTCTCATATTTTAAATGCAACACTGATTTTAAAAGATAAATGGCAGACAGCCTTACGAAAAAACAATTTTCTATGCTTATTTTTTTTTAACAGGATCATTTTTTTATTAAGCACACAAAACATTCCTCTCCATAGTTGGCAATAAAATTTCTTACACTGGGACTTTCAGCGTCGGTGAACAATACTTTTGCATTGTCTGTGTAATTTAAACTAAACGCACTATTTTGCTTTTAGAAAGCTTCCAAATGTTTCCTATTTTTCTATCCAATAAAAAGTGCAGACTTGAACATGTGGTTAACAAGTTGATGAGTATTATATGCTTGATTACTGAATTTCTAGGGATTGTCTCATACAAACTGCATGGTATTCTATCACACTCCATGGACACGCTATGGCATTCCATGGAACTGCATGGTACTTCAGGCAACGCCATGGCATTCCATGGAACTCTACGATATTCCCTGGAACTTCATGGACCGGCAAGGAAACTCCATGGAATTTCATGGCATTCCATGGAACTCTACGATATTCCCTGGAATTTCATGGACCTCCAGGGAAACTCCATGGAATTTCATGGCGTTCCATGGAACTCCATCACTACTTCATGGAACTCCGTGGAACTCCATGGCATTCCATGGAACTCCATGGATACTCCATGGAACTCCATGGCATTCCATGGAACTCCATGGATACTCCATGGAAGTTTCGTGGAATTCCATGGATTTCCATGGAATTCCATGGATTTCCATAGATTTCCATGGATTTCCATGGAATTCCATGGAGGTATTTCACACGGGACAGTCACACAGAATTATTCTTATCAAAGTCTGAAATAGCTCACAGACATAAAATAACTGATTAAAATGAAATCTGGGGGATGGCTGTATGGCCCTTGCACACACAGTCACACAGAATTATTCTTATCAAAGTCTGAAATAGCTCACAGACATAAAATAACTGATTAGAATGAAATCTGGGGGATGGCTGTATGGCCCTTGCACACACAGTCACACAGAATTATTCTTATCAAAGTCTGAAATAGCTCATAGACATAAAATAACTGATTAAAATGAAATCTGGGGGATGGCTGTATGGCCCTTGCACACACAGTCACACAGAATTATTCTTATCAAAGTCTGAAATAGCTCACAGACATAAAATAACTGATTAGAATGAAATCTGGGGGATGGCTGTATGGCCCTTGCACACACAGTCACACAGAATT